GTAGAGCCATATATTTTAATACAAGTGGATATACTTTCTTTGTACACTGTAACTATTTCTAAACAGTTGGTAGGTTTGGGTAGTGATATAGATATGAATAATTTGCATTGGTATGGATTTTGCTTTATTAATACAAATTTAAGTTCAATTTTGTTATATGTATATGTATTTCTGATCTTGATTAAGGTATTGTATTATGTAGTTCATTTAAAAATGTAATACATAATTAGGAAATATAGGTTGTTAATGGATAATAATCAATAATAGTCAAGCTTGTAGTCATGTTAGTTAGATTTTCTAGATATATAGAGATATATTTCAGTTAGATAGGCATTCTTCATATCTTTCAAAGACTACAGAATATGGCATTTAAAATATTTTGATAACTTAGGTTTTTATGACAATGAGACACTTCTGCTCCTGGCAGCACCAATCTACTTCAAGAGGAAGATGGGCATCGAAGAGGCTCCTTATGGAGTTGGTTAGCCATTTGGGCAAGTAACTGCTCTTGCCTGGACTGTTGCATAAACTGGACACAGAGAACCCACAGAGAGAGGACTGCTGAACTTGCCTAAAGGTGAGATGATCCTTCAGGGTTCCTGCTTCATAAAAGAGTCTGCAAGACATTCTACAGGACACACAAAAAAAGTGACTAAACTGTCTTTAAAAAATTTCCTGCTTCGTGGAAATGTCTGCTGGATACTATGGGCCTGAAGACCGAACAAAGATGGATGCCCCAACGATACAGAAAAACTTTGGGTGACTGTCCAGGCAGCGCAATGTCTGTGTCATTTCTAGAGTTTTGGAAGTTGCTTACTTCTTGTTTACTTCGGTAATATTATATCCTTCTGGAGTCTTTGCTGGAGTTGAAAAATAGATAGTTATAGTTTTCCTTTGTTATGATAAAAGATAAAGTAGATATAAATATTATAACTGTAATTCTTCCTTGATAACTGTTTTGTTATATGTAATTTTACTATGGTAAAGTGAAAGCCTTCTTTTTTGTTTAAACAGAAAAGGGAAAATGGTGTAGGACATCCTTCTGTATTTGTGTTGCTTTCATTGGTTATTAAAGAAACTGCCTTGGCCTAGTTGATAGGGCGGAACTCAGGTAGGTGGGGAAGACAGAACAGAATGCTGGGAAGAAGAGCAGAGAGTCAGGCAGATGCTATGGTTCTGCCTGAGATCGATGCTGGTTAGACTCATGCCAGTAAGCCACAGTCAAGTGGCGATACACATTAATGGAGATGGGTTAAACTAATATGTGAGAGTTAGCCAATAAGAGGCTAGAAATAATGGGCCAGGCAGTAATTTAATTAATACAATTTCTATGTGGTTATTTTGGGGGCTAAGATAGCCGGGCGGCAGGAGACAGCTAGCCTGCTCCTCCTACTACAGTGTAGTGGCAGGGCTGCTGGTCACTTTCCACTTGAGCAGAGCTGAAAACAGTCCTTCACATTTCCACTCCATGGGATGAGGGAAGCACATTAGTTCTTGGGGTACATTTGGGCTCTTTGGAGTTTTCTCTGTGAGCACTGTACTGGTCATCCTGTGGTTTCAGTCCTGCACCCTAAGGATTCTGTGATGCTTAGAGTTTATCTTTGACCACTAAAATGATCAGAGCAGTGCTTAAGGGTGTTGGGTGCATAGCCAGTGTCACCTTTGTGAGGGGGCATTGGAGTGAGCATACAGCTGGACCTGGCTAGCAAGAAGTGTGGAAGGTTCTGCCAGGGTTTGACTCTGTAGTTGTGCTTTTAGACCCTGATATACACAGAGTGAATAGGCACAAGTTCCAGATGAAGGGGCAGGTATGGACAGAGCCTTGGGTACTCGAAAGGTAGGCTAGCCAATATGATGGCTAGTGGGTGATGCTGGTCACTAGGCATCTGTGCCTGTGTTTATCCTTAGACTGGGGTGTAGCTCAGTTGGTAGTGCCACTTTTTCATAGCATGTGGGAAGCCTGGGTTCATCTCTAGGACCACAGAAACTTAGTATATTTTCGTAAACCCAGTTCTCAGAAGGTAGAGGCAGGAGGAGGCCAGCCTGAGTTACATGAGGCCATAAAGAAAGAATTCTTTATTCATGCCAGGCCTGCAGGAAGATGACATACCCGAATCCAGTTTGGGCTGTGTTCTAGGATTTAAGATTTTGTGTGTTTCATCAAACCCCTGCTGTGATAGGAAGTGGAGGAAAGCAGGTGTGCCCTGGTCCCAGGGCCATAGTCTGGATGGCCACTGACAAATCCCCATTGCTGAGGACAGATTTCAGGACTTGGTACTATTCCTCTTGTGGTGTTATGAAAACAGATAGGCCTAGGGAATTGATGCAAGACTGCAGCCCAGTGGCCCTTGCAGTCTGTGGATGGGGCCAGAGCTATGATGTGTGCACTCAGCTTGTGGGTCATCCAGGCTATGAAGGCTGCGACTACCTCTCCTGTGTCAAGGCCTGGTGTGGGGGGGGATAGCACTGATCAAGGCTGGGATCCCCCAGGAACAGGTGCTCCCTATGAGGAAGTGGACAGAGTGAGATGGGCTTGGTCAGATGTGGTCTATTCCTTTCTTCCTCCTGACTTTTACTGCTTACTATGTGTAAAACACCTACTGTGTGCTAAGAACCTTATAGTATGGTATGCAAAGTGCTGACAGAGTGCAGAGTGTACCCCAGTGAGTGCACAGGCCTCTGCACTAGAGCTGAAGCCTGTTAGGTGCTGGAATTGGCTGGCCACCCTTACTTGTCTGTTTTGGGTCTTGGAGTACACAGGCCACAGCGGTAGGGACAGTAGAAAGAGCCTCATTTCTGGGCCTAGCTGTTCCCCTCTAGTCCTGGCAAACATTATTCATTTATTTATTTTGGTTTTTTGAGACTTTTTTTTTTCTGTTTTTTTGAGACAGGGTTTCTCAGTGAGTCCTGGCTATCCTAGAACTTACTCTGTAGACCAGGCTGGCCTTGAACGCACAGAGATCTGCCTACCTCTGCCCCCCGAGTGCTGGGATTAAAGGTGTACACCACCACTGCCCGGCTGATCTTGAACTCTTGATCTTCCCTGGCTGGTATTACAGGCACATGCCACCACACCAGCTAAGGATTAAATATCTTGTTTGTTTCCTGGTGTATCCCTGGGGCCGACTGCAGTGCCAGGTACGCAGTAGGTCCTCAGTATATTATTGTGTGGAATGACTGTGGCGGTGATAATGATGGAGGTGGGTCTTGTAAACAGGCCCTTGCAGCTCGCCTATGACAGGCAAGCTAGGTGTTCACTCAGGTTGTGCTTCAGGGATGCCCCTGTGCCTGGCTCCTCCATGCTGATCTTGTTCAGGCACCAAGAACAGTACAGTGGTGATCCACTTGGACATCTTGATTGTCTTGCACCTGTGTCTGCCTGAATCCCGCATCTGGCCTAGAGAAGCCTACATCCCTGTGAGTCTGGCTAGTACAGGCTGCATTTCATCTTTAGTGTGGCCATCACCACGCTTGCTGCAGCATTTAAATGAGGACAGCAGCCAACCACACTGAACTTTTCCAGATTCTAGGCCATTCTTAACTGAGACTTTGTAATACTCTGAGGATGACTTCCCCTTTGACAGGGAAAGCTGAGGTGGTGAATCACTTGAGGTCACTCAGAGTCAGATATAACTAGTAAAAGATGGGACTGGATTTTAGATGCAGTATTGAATCCATGTTCCCATCCATGCTTTCTAGAGATGAGTAGTAATCAGCTAACTCCGTTACTTCATCTGGACTCCAAACCTGCCCCCACAGTCTGCTATTTCTGGATAGATCCGCTGGCTAGCCTTTCTTGAGCACCATTAAATGTGTTACTGTACCTGTAAAAACTAACTGGAGAGAGACATGTGAGCTTTGATTTGTGTACTGGATAAGTAGGGTCATACGGGGTGGACTGTTAGGTTTGATTTTGGGGTGACCTTGGGGCTATTGGGCAGGCCCAGTGCTCTAGTCTCCCCCCCAACTTTGCCTGTTTAGTCAGGGTTGCCAGCAACATCAGGGAGCTGTGGTCAGGGCTCTACTTTGAAAACCTTTAGCTGCTGCGGGAAAGGGGTCTGAAATTACTCTTGTCAAATTGCCCCCTAAAGAAGTTGTATTGCTTCACAGAACCCACCACAGGTAATGAAGTGCCTGGGTTTTAGTCTTTAGCAGTCCTGGGTGTCACTGGTCAGTTTTTACTTTGGGTGTGCTGTAAGTAGCTTGTTTCCTGGTGGGCAGTTCCACTCATCCACAGTTCCACTCCCCGTGGTCAACCAAGGCTTAAAAATACTAAATGGAAAATTTCGGAAAACCCCACTCAAGGCTCTTAGTGGTGCTGAACTCTCGGAGCCCCTCTGAAGGAGGCAGCTCCTCCCTGGTGCATCTCGCCTACCTACTGTCACCACTTTGTATGCACCACCCGCCTGCCTGCCTTCTGGTTTGCCGGTTTCCACGTGCGGGGTTCCCTGGGTGGCCGCGGGGGCGGGACGTTCTCTGGCTCACTGCCCTCTGTTCTGTCTTGCAGTTCGGCCGCCCCGCCTCGCTCTCCGCCATGAACGGGCCCACCGTGCAGCCCTCCGGCACGTCCTCGGCACCCGCGTCGCCCGCGTCCCCGC